AAAAACTACCAGAAACTATCAAGGTACTGGCATCTATCAATATTGTCAACAATATTGGGGAAGCTACACCGGAAAAGCGAATCAACATTAATAATCATTCGAAGTTCGAGAAGCTGTTAAGAGTGACAGCAAGAGTACTGGCCATGTACTCTGGATTAATTCTGGATTTTACAAACACAGAAGATTATGCACGAAGACTTGAAAAAAGGAAAATATAAACGCCTCTGTCCTTGAAAACATAACGATGGAATATATATAGTGGGAGGACGTAGTCAGTGATGGGTGGAAATGAGCTATAACAAACAGGAACTCATATTGCTACCTTATGAACATCGTTTCTCAAAACTCTATGCGGAACACATAAATCAAAGAGGACACCTTGGGGTACTATCAACAGCCAGTAAAATTCGATCAAGATTCTGGATAAATAGACTACTGAAACTGGTTACATCAAGAACAACTGCATTATCTGTAGAAAAATGGAGAAAAAACTGTGCGAACAGATAATGGGTAAACTCCCAATAGAAAGATTAAAACCAGCACCAGCATGGGATACTACAGCTCTCGACTTTTTTGGTCCATTCAAAATAAAAGATGAAGTAAAGAAAAGAACAACAGGAGAAGCGTACGGATTAATGTTCAATTGTCTCGCAACAAGAGCTGTTCATGTGGATATTTCGCCTGATTACAGTACCAAGAAATTCCTAATGGCACTAAGACGTTTCGTATCTATTAGAGGCTATCCATCGAAATTGCAGCCTGTTTGCTTTGAGGCTGCTAACTTGATAAACGAAAGACCAATAGGTAGACACCCAACCTCATCGGATGACGAATTATACCTATACCCCAATGATCTCTTACTTGGACGTTCAACGTCACGAGTACCAAGCGGACTATTTGTACAAACAAACAATCCATGACACAGATACGAATTCATCCAAAAAATTGTCAATAATTTCTGGAGAAGATGGACTAGAGATTACTTTCCAAGTCTCATTATACAACAAAAATGGCACACAGTGAGAAGAAATCTTAAAAAAGGGGATATCGTCCTTATTCAAGATTCAAACCAGATCAGAGGCCAAACTCGGAAAAGTTTCGGAAGTGTTTCCAGGAGAAGACGATATAGTTAGAAAAGTACACGTGACATACAAGAATCCTAAACAAGGGGAACCAGCTAAAAGCGGAGCTCCGTGCGCGTGGGCGGAGCCCCATTGCTAAGTAAATCTACCCATCCCAGAAAATTTGGTAATCACGTGACCGTACACTGACCGACCGCCCACTGTCCGTCTACACCACAGGAAAACCAATGTTTACTCTCACACTTTTAGCTAGTTTGGGAGCCTAAGGGAAAACTAATTGCACAGGCTGCACATCAATGTTGTGATCAATTGGCAGCTATCAAAAAAGGGCATCCGCTGACAAGTATCACCTGACCGTACTGCGGGCTCAAGTGTCGACCCATCGAGGTCGAGTATTTTTTAAAGTTATCTGCTGACAAATTACCAGTTTCAAATGATCCCAGGCTCAAGTTTATTTTTTCCAAGGATTCATATCAAGTATGTTGTGTTTATGTCACTATGGCCCCACACTATTAGGATTTTGATTTCAAACTGACCTCGGAAGCAAAAATTCAGCCAGTTTTTTTAAAAGTACAGGCGGGGAAGACCTTATCTTGCCATGGTCATGCGTTGGTCATGCTCTATGTCCAATTGTTATACTCTGATTGGTCAAAATTTGACAGGTGAGTTTATGCGGAAAAATTATGCAGCATCTTGAAAGTAGTTTACTTTGACAGCTGAAGCTGACAGAGTTTTGTGTCAACTTGTGATGTTTTTAACTGTCTTTTTCCTCTGAAGGTACAAAATGAAATACAGCTGCTATCAAGAGTCTTCTGTTATTCATGGCTGGTTTGTTTACTGGGTTTTGGTTGAGAAATGCGTCGCTTGTCAAAATTTGGTAATTCGATTTCGGATGGTATCGTTTTCGTTTTTCACCTTGCTTAATGCGTAAGAGGGTTTAAAAGTCTCAAGCAACTGTGGCCTCCCTTGATAGCTTTCAGGAACTGAATCTCGAATGGTAAGCCTAAGTAATTATTGTATTTGATGTTTGTGTTTCATGAAGTCTTGCACAGTTCACGCTGACAGTTTATGCGGTAAGTTTATGCACGTTTGCAGGATTTGAGTCAATGATCTGACCTGGTATCAGGTTTGATATAAGCTTACAGAACTCACTGTTTTGCTCACTACAAATAGAAAGAAAACGTTCCGAAGGATATTTAGTTATAAATTTGGCTGTAGAAAGAAAACTTTGAGCTATTTTCTTGCTTCGAGGAGTTCATCTTCAAAAACAGTAAACACAGCGCTGGGAAGCTGGCTAAAACATAAACTTAAGCTTTACGCTTAAAGACTCAGGATTTTTAGAGACACTTTAATACTTGTCTTCGTGAATGAAAATTGTCGTCTCTGTAAATGTTTCACGGAATTATATCTCTTTTTTGATTATTAGTAGTCTCTCTTGCAATTTTAATCGCTTGTCCGTGCCGTTTGTTTTCATCGTTCATGACCATCGCTTGCAGGAGTACTCAAAAATGTCGCGCGTATCAAACGCGTTATAAGATTACACATCGTTATAACTGAAACCATTAAATAACAAAACAAATAATAAATTCGCTTTATGTTGAAGCGTAACTCTGTTAAAGTTCATTCAAACACTCGACCACACTGACAGCTCCCACTATAGAAACGAGAACCAGCTGGCCGTATGGGTGATTTTGGAAATTTTCTGAAACTTTTGAACGGTTTGGCTCGTCCTGAATATTGACTGAGTGCAATTTGTCTTGAAAAATTGTGAAATACCGCATTCTGTCCGAGCTCTGTATGATAAAAAGTACTGTTTCACCTCAAATGTGGTGTATAAAAATTATAAAAGGTTGGTTTAAACACCCCCAGATTTGTTGGCAAGAATTTGTAAAGTAAACCTGTCGAACGCAAAAAAATTTGGCGTGATTTGTTTTCCAAGAATTTGTTTTCGAGGCCTAATCTACTGTGATCTTGAATGTGATCGAAGATGTTTGCTATTTTTTGGGTGTACATATAAGGTTATCAATTCGATGTAAGATGTTTCACTCTAAAATAACTTAGCCTTTCCCTCAAAAGTCACATGAATGTGCCCTTAAGTTAAATGATTTGTGGATTAAAAGTTTATTGTTTGATTTAAATTATAAATTTATTAAAATTGGAGCTTCGCTTTTAGCCCTGGCTAAATCTATATATTATATATAATGGAAGAGGATACATTAGAGTCGAAAGATCAGTGAACAGACTGGTACTGCTTCTACCAGTGGATGAAAGGGAACAGCAATCTTACTGAACACATGAAATAATGAAATTAACCCTTAACACTAGACATTAATAATAATCGTAAGGATAATCAAACTCTGTAACTAACATTTTTGGCGGGGGGAGGGTTTCATTCTAGATTAATTAATTACGCGTGAAAACGCAACAATCGTTAATAAGCTATAATTGAACAATCACTTATTGATCGTGCATGAGACACAACGAATGTTGGAGACAATCATCTAGTAGAATCCTTACTCATCATAATTGCTGTATTTTTGCTATAGATTTCGAACGCACATATGTGTATGAGTAGATATTAAAGAACACAGTTTGAAACCGTTGGTTACAGCAGTATATTTGTTGTTTACAACAAAACACGTTTAATCATTACTGGACTGTAAGTAATTTGTCAGAAATTAATAGTGTCAAGCTATATCCTAATAAATGGAGAGGAAAGAATTACGATAAAACTAATAATGGACAATAATACAACTCGGGGGAATGGGGTGAGTCCGCCATGTCAGAAATGGAGGCGAAATACAAGTTCTGACACCTGCTGAAATGGTTTTAGTGGATTGTTTTGACCAAGAAACCAATACCATCTATGAATTTTACAGGTGCTACTTTCATGGGTGCCCTTGTTGCTTCCCAAGAAATCGAGATGTGGAAAGTGGCAATGTTAATGCAAGCGGGCTATCAAGTAATTGAAAAAAGGGAGTGTGACTTCAACCAAGACAAAAAGATGGACCCCCCGTTAAAATCGTTCCTGCAAGACAGGAAATGGTACCCTCCTTAGAACCAAGGGATTCTTTTTATGGGGGTCGCACAGGGGCAGCCACTCTTTGTGCCAAAGCAGGGGAAGACATCAAATATTGTGATGTCACCTCTCTTTATCCATGGGTCAATTAATATAAGCAATATCCGGTGAGATTTCCGATCATTTACACCAATCCATCCCAACAAGATATAGATCAATACTTTGGTGTGGCAGAAGTAGATATTTTGGCCCCTGAGTACTTGTATCATCATGTCTTACCTGTCCGTTCTAATGGTAAACTCACCTTTCCCCTGTGTGCCTCGTGCGTCCGAGAAGAACAAGCCAAGCCCTGGCTCGAAAGAAGCAACATATGCAATCACACTGACGATGAAAGGATCCTGCGTAGGACCTGGGCCACAGTGGAGTTGCAAAAAGTGGTAGAGCTGGGATATCAGATCAAAAAAATCCATGAGGTGTAGCATTTCCACAAAGAGGACAGAAGGGTGGGGCTCTTCGCGGATTATGTCAACACCTGGCTGAAGATAAAGCAAGAATCAGCAGGATGGCCAGATGATTGTCGCACTCAAGAACAGAAAGATGCATACATCCGAGTATACGAGCAGAACGAGGGAATTACCTTGGAACATGTGGCTAAGAACCCAGGGAGGAAAACGGTGGCAAAATTATTGCTCAACAGGTGAGTCCCTTAGTAAGTTACATGAAAAGTCTGCTAATAAGAGTCATAAGTTGCAGAAAAAGTCTGCACTTAAGACGCAAGGAAGGATATGACATGACAGGCAAGGTGTTGACTCAAAATTAGAAGGAAATATATGACAATGTTGCAGACAAAGTCTGCTACTAAGAACGTTATTTGCAGGAAAAGTTTGCAAGCTGCAGACCTCCTTTTAATTTGTTTTTATTTCTTTTTCTCTCTTCCAGCTTCTGGGGCAAATTTGGAGAGAGACACAACATGCCGCAAACACATGTCATTCAAAGCCCCCATCAGTTTTATGCTATCCTCAACGACCCCTCCTACCCTATTGGAGCCATCCAAATTTGTTCTGAAGATGTTATGGAAATCGTGACGACCCAAGCCAAAGAGGAAGCGGAAAAGAGCCTGAAGACCAATGTATTTATAGCCATTTTTACGACGGCCCATGCTCGTCTGAAACTTTATGAGGTCTTAGAAACTCTTCAAGAAAGAGTTCTCTATTATGACACCGATTCGGTTATTTGTAAATGGCGCCCAGGGCAAGCAGAAATCCCCTTAGGGGTTTTTTTGGGAGAGCTTACAGATGAAGTTGAAGGCAACCCGATTTTGGAATTTGCCAGTGGGGGGGCTAAAAACTATGGGTATCTGACCAGGGGTGGCAAAGTAGAATGTAGAGTGAGAGGATTTTCCCTCAATTAGAAATACAAGCAACGGTTGAATTACCGTATTTTATCGGCTATAAGCCGAGCCCAGCTATAAGCCGAGACCCTAAACTTTTAACTCTTAAACTTAATACGATTGTCTTCAAACATAAACACAAAACATTCAGCTATAAGCCGAGACCCAGTTCTTAAAGCGTATAAGAGCTCATGAAAAGTTTTAATCACATTTAGCTTTTAAAATCTGTTAAAATGAAATGAAAGAACGGGTTAATTATCCAACAGCACGGGCGATTCGCTTGAAAAGCAAGGTGTCATGAATATTTAACGAAAGCTAGGCTTACCTCTCGGGAAACAACTGTATCAATATTGTTACCTGCTCAATACAATGGCTAAGAATAACAACAAATTACAGTTAAGCTGAATTTAATGTGATCCGATCAAATGAATAAAATTGAATTCACGGCTTGATCATATGAACATTCCGAGTTCAGAGACCTGTCTTTAACAATCCTGTGTCGATAGTCGTTCATTGTCAATCCGTTATCATGCCAAAAGCCCGTCGTTCATCATACAATCTAGCGTTCAAAATTAAAATAGTCGCCGAAGCAGAAGCCGTCGAGAACAACTCTGAGATCGCGAGGGAATACGGCATCAGTGAGTCAATGGTTCGTCGCTGGAGAAAAGACGAAGAAAACCTGTTCAACGGCGAAATAAAACTGTCCGCAAAATGTAAAACTATGGGCTGTTTTACACCAAAGTATCCCGAGATGGATCAAAGATTGCTGGAATGGTTTTCCGAGCAGAGAAGTCAAGGTGAGAATCATGTGACAAGTTTGTTTACACATCCGTGGGAACAGAACATTCTCATTGGTCAGTTTTTGATAGTTGTCAAAACATTAGTATCATTGCTTATCTGTTCTATCTTTCCTTCGTTTTAGGAATTGCTGTTGGTGGACTGATGTTGCGTTTGAAGGCGAAAGAATTCTGCGATGATCCCGCATTCAAAGCATCTATAGCCTGGTACATAAACTGGAATGAGGTCTAATCAATTGTTGTATTCTTTCTTTCGTTATAGGTGTGAAGGAGTGGATTCGTACCTGCATGCCAAGAAACCCCACCGGTGAGCGATCGCTGTTGGTTTGGGACTCCTTTCATGCTCATCTTACTGAGTCAGTGAAAGAAGCATTGCAGTGGCGAAGTATCGATGTAGCTGTTATTCCCGGTGGCCTAACTCCAGTTCTCCAGCCCTTAGACAAGTGTCTAAATAAGCCCTTCAAGGAGAATATGAGAAGAAAGTACCTGTCGTGGATGGTAACTGGCCCCTTCGAGTTTACTCCTGCTGGGAAAAAGAAAGCGCCATCAAGAAACCTTGTTCTACGTTGGATAAAGCAGTCTTGGAGGGAGATCCCGGAGGAGATGGTGAGGAAATCATTTCTTACTTGCGGCATCTCCAATGCGCTTGATGGCACCGAGGATGACGCCCTCTATGAAGAGGAGCAAGACAATGACGCCAAAGAAGATGAGATGGATGAAGAATTTGATATGGAAAGCGAAGATGAGCCATAAGCTGACATCCTCGAACGTGCAGTTCACAACAGAAAACAAACGGCTCCTTTAGGAGCCACCACATATTAAAAGTTAATGACCAATAACTCTTGCTTTTTTGTCCATGTGTTTTGCTCGGCTTGTATGCGAATATATGCGTATTTATCTTAGTTTTATTAAGTCCATAATTTCTGTTCAGGTTAAACTCTCGGCTATAAGCTGAAACCCCCTCTACAAGTCAGATTTTAATTCAAGTTAGGCTAAACATGTGTTTAAATCGCTCGGCTTATAGCCAATAAAATACAGTACTATACTCTACGTGAACATTTTGAAAGAATTAGATGAACCCCAAACCTCTAGGAGGGAAATGAAGCTAGTGGATGATAAATTTGACAAACGAGTGATCAACAGGACCTCTCGCAAGTCTTATCCTTTTGGATACCCTCGTATTCGAGACGAGGTCGACTTGCTTTCGGATTTGTAATTAGTTTTTGTGTTTTGGAGCATTGTATATAGGAATAGGTCAGCTTTGTGGCGCCATTCGAAGTGTTGTAACGTTAAATCGATAGGGAGCTTTAACGAAGAAATAAATTAAGTTCGTGGAAACTCTCTGTGTGTTTTCTCTGGGTAAGGGTTAGGGTCAAAAAGAGGCAGTCGGTTAAGTTTAACGGCATTTATTGAAGAAAAGGAAAAAGAAATTACAATTTGAGTTTTCTCTTGGCTTGCATGATTTTCTTGACGACTTTCTCAGTCATGGTCTTTTTCCCGGGTAAATGATCAATGGCTTTGATCATGACGCCATCCGCTTTCCATTTATCTTGCAAATTCTTGGCTTTGCTATATGCAGTGTCATGAAGCATGGCTATTCGGTCTAACCTGTTTTTTGGCTTGTCTCTGTGTTACAAACGTTTGGCATTTATCAGATTTGAACACCGGAAAATTGCTCAAATAAACTCTTTCAATTGACTAAGTATTTGATTGGGTACTTTCGAATAGGGCAACATAACGCTAGATGACCGAAATACTTGCCAAACCAACGTTGCTATGAAGAAAGTGGTACATTCAATAACTGATTAACGTGTTCAACAGCATGGCCAAATAATTCAACAACATCACCGACTGGTGCATTTTCGGGGCGGGGGCAGGGGGGTAAAATGGAGACATCGATTCTATCCATTTGGGATTGATCGGGCATCTTGTTTCAGGAACTTCTACGCTATCAGGAGATGGTGCTGGTACTGGGCCATCCCGGTCAATGCTATAGCTCGAGAAGTCATTCTGCAACAAATAATATATAGATTTAGCCAGGGCTAAAAGCGAAGCTCCCATTAATAAATTTATATTTTAAATCAAACAATAAACTTGTAATCCACAAATCAGTTAACTTAAGGGCACATTCATGTGACTTTTGAGGGAAAGGATAAGTTAGTTTAGAGTGAAACATCTTACATCGAGTTGATAGCCTAAATATATGTACACCCAAAAAATAGCAAACATCCTCTATCATATGGCTCTTGATCACAGTAGATTAGGCCTCGAAAACAAATTCTTGGAAAACAAATCAGGCCGCATTTTTTTGTGTTCGACAGGTTTACTTTACAAATTCTTGCCAACAAATCTGAGGGTGTGTAAACCAACTTTTTATACTTTTTATACATCACATCTGAGGTGAAATAGTACTTTTTATCATACAGACCTCGGACAGAATATTTCACAATTTTTCAATGTTCAGGACGATCAATCGTGGGCTTTTAGCGAAACCGTTTAAAAAATTTCTAAAATCACTCATACGGCCAGCCGGTTCTCATTTTTAGTGCGAGCTGTCAGTGTGGTCAAGTGTTTGAATGAACTTTAATGGAGATACGCTTCAACATAATAACGAATTTATTATCATTATTTTTTGTTATTTAATGGTTCCAGTTATAACGATGTGTAATCTTATAAAGCGTTTGATACGCGCGACATTTCTAAGTACTCCTGCAAGTGATGTTCATGAACGATGAAAACAAACACCACAGACAAGCGATTAAAATTGCAAGAGAGACTACTAACAATCAATAAGAGAAATATAATTCGGTAAAACATTTACAGAGACAACAATTTTCATTCACGAAGACAAGTATTAAAGTGTCTCTAAAAATCCTGAGTCTTTAAGCTTAAAGCTTAAGCTTAAGTTTATTTTGTTTTACTTTCAGCCGGCCTCCCGGTGTTTGTTTTTTTTTTCAAAGATGAACTCCTCGAAGCAAGAAAATCACTCAAAGTTTTCTTTCTACAGCCAAATTTATAACTAAATATTCTTCGGAACGTTTTTTTTTTCTATTTGCCGTGAGAAAATATATCTGAAGGCCTTTTAAAGTTCTGTAAGCTTATATCAAACCTGATACTAGATCAGATCATTGACTCAAATCTTAACAAACGTGCAAAAACTTGCCGCATAAACTGTGCTCGACTTCATGAAATTAGATATAACAAAAACAAACATCAAATACAATAATTACTCAGGCTTACCATTCGAGATTCAGTTCCTGAAAGATATCAAGGAAGGCCATAGTTGCTTGAGACTTTTAAACCCTCTTACGCATTGAGCAAGGTGAAAGACGAAAACGATGCCATCCGAAATCGGATTACCCAATTTTGACAAGCGACGCATTTCTCAACCAAAAACCCAATAAACAAACCAGCCATGGATAACAGAAGACTCTTGATAGCAGCTGTATTTCATTTTGTACATCCAGTGGAAAAAGATTTAGACATTTAAAACATCACAAGTTGACACAAAACTCTGTCAGCTTTTGCTGTCAAAGTAAACAACTTTCAAGATGCTGCATAAATTTTCCGCATGAACTCACCTGTCACATTTTGACCAATCAGAGTACAAAAATTGGACGTAGAGCGTGACCAACGCGTGATCATGGTAAGAAAAGGTCTTCCCCGCCTTTATTTTTAAAAAAGTGGCTGAATTTTCGCGTCCGAGGTCAGTTTGAAATTAAAATCTTGACAGTGCGGGGCCATAGTGACATAAACACAACATACTTCATATGAATCATTGGAAAAAATAGACTTGAGCCTGCGATCATTTGAAACTGGTAATTTCTCAGTGGATAACTTCAAAAAGTACTCGACCTCTATGGGTTGACACTTGAGCCCGCGGTACGGTCAGGTGATACTGGTCAGCGGATATCCTGTATTGACAGCTGTCAATTGATCACAATATTGATGTGCAATTAGTTTTCTATTGGGCTCCCAAACTAGCTAGAAAGTGTGAGAGTAAACATTGGTAGCCCTGTGGTGCGGACGGACAGTCGGGCGTACGGTCACGTGATAACCAAATTTTCTCGGATGGGTAGATTACCACATTTCCTTAGCTATGGGGCCCCGTCCATGCGCGCGCTTCGCGCGCAGGTGGAGCTCCGCTACAAACAAATGGTCGTCAATTGTATAACCTAGAGGTGAGTTGTGTATCACCAACATATATCACAAAAAAACTATTGATTTGTCCTAAGTTCAGCATCACTGTCTTTACATATTGGTATAATCTGCTCGATTAACCAACAGTACGGCAGAAATCAAGGCCATATAGAGATATCTCAGAAAAAAAGGTTACGTGATAGGTTACAATGAAAAATAGTTGCTTGGAAGACTTCTCTGTCAATTGTTGAACCGTTTCCCCAGATACTATTGAGTCCTCGTATCCATAGCTGCATTGGTGTAGCATTACATTCCTTTCGCAGGGGATGGTTAGTCCACACATTTTTCCAGTTCTTCAGCTGTCCGTTTATGACCGGTAAAAACGTGTAATGAAGGCACCAAAGATGAATGTCATCATTTGGATCGAGCATTCCCGACCACTCTAGCTCATGAAACACGTTGTAAAACAATGATATGCATCCAGCAAACACATCTCTCCATAGTCTTTCGATGCGCTGGTTATGAGTGCTTTTTCCTGAAAGAAAGAAATATTTAACAGATTGATATTTGTCGACATTGAACCTATGCAAGTCGTGTATAATTTCTAACAGCTTTCTTCCCTTTTACCTGTTATCATACTGCCTCTCCTGGAACCCCTTTGTGGAATTGTTAGCATATACCAGGAAACGTCCACATTCTCACCACCCTTGTCCGAGCGAACACGTGATGGTAGGCCATATTCATTTACTGCATCAAGAAACAAGCTTAACACAGTTGCTGCTCTATTGTTGTCAGATGCCTTAAGAAACACGGGTATTCTGGAATAGCCATCTATTCCAGCATGGACAACAATTCTCCACCTTGAAAGAATACAAAAGCGAAGTAAGATAAATTAAGAAACTGGACTCAATTTAGAAAAGTAAAACAGTGACACAAAATGCAATGACAATTATAGTCGATGTTGTGATGATATTAACCCAGTATTTTCAATCAGTCATTTCGTGGAGGGTTCAAGGGGAAAAATATACCCCCCCCTTCCCCTAACATCAGACCTCCTCTGAAATTCTTGAGACTAACCCCCCATTTTTTCTTCCCCTCCACGCCATAAATAGTTAGAGAATCCATGTTCACCTTATCAATTTATGATTTCAATCTATGTGCCAAAGAGCCAAAGGACATTGGACATTGTATCGGCATCTTCTTACTGCATCCCTCCATCGCTGCATTACTCCAATGGGATCTGTCCTTAAAAACGACTGCCTTATCCTCTCGCTTTGTACACAATGCCCATTACTCTGTAATAAGCCTTTAGCCATCCTTATACCAATATTAGGATGAGACTGTTGTGCACATCTCAATAGTTTATCTAATTGTTCATCACTTCACTTACTATATGTACCTGAAATTTGAAAAGGTATACAATGTATATATTGTAGTTAATTTTTCATTTCAGGTAATTTTTATTTTCTCCTCAATTAAACTTCATTAGCATACAGTACAAAAACAAAGGGAAAACAAAAATTATCGGAGATAAAAAATTAACTGCAACCATATACATGTTTAAACCAGTTGGTAAAGTAACATACGGTGCAACTAGGACAGTTAGAAAGGCTTTAAACGCAATATCAGTCAAAAGCAAAACTCAAATTTTAATTTGCTTTGTTAGGTTTAAGAACCAGAGTTGAGAAATGTACTGCTTGTTAACGCTGTTTTATGACCCATAGAGTGACAATAAATTTTTGGAATTTGCGGTTACTTCGCATTAGTCACGTTATACTGTCACACTTTATTTTGGGGGACAGAGGGATTGGGGGAGGGGTGCGTGAATATAACGTTTATTGTTTCCCACTTGGAATGGCTAATTTACTTACTTCTTTTCATAATGGTGGAATTTGAAAAGTTACTATACAGCCCCTACTAATAAATGGTACTCATTTTTCTTGTTACGAAAGTCTGCCAAAAGGGTACAATATTCAAATGAGTTTATGTTTTTAAACTCTCACATGAGATGCTAGGTCACGCAACGGTCAGCGACAGGGTTATGTGGTGGCTTGACTGTTTATACAGCCACCCATCGCCCAGGAAAAATTGCCTTTGACATCCCAGTTAAAATCACCTTTCGGTGATGCTTGTCGAAAACCCTTCTCTAACAAAAGAAAAAAAATCTAAATATCACCTGAAACACTCAGTCCAAACGCCGACATTCTCCTCTCAACAGTCCTCTGATCAACTCCCAGCATAACGCTGATTTTCGATACCTTGAACCCTTGGTCCAATAAGAAAGACAGTTGTTCCCTCGGTATTTCATAAGAAGGCCTTCCACGGGTCCCAGTGCAAAATATTGGGGCTGCATATCCATCATTTGCTACATTATTATTCGCCTCAAGCTGTACAACACTCTCGTATGAACCTCTCATTGTATTAGCGATCTCATCAGGCACTTTGAGATTTACGAGCATCCTAGTTATATAGTCTAGTCTTAAGACGATTGAGCCAATTTCAAAGCCATTCTCTGAATTCTCAAACCGCTCGATGCGAGTTATGAGGCCATTTGTAGCTTCCACAACGCTCGGAAGGTCTGCGATTTTGTGTAAGGACTGGGACCGGAGACTGGAAACAACCTCTGCATCAGCGGACATATGATACATTTTGGCGGAAATTTTAAGCTGTCCTCACAACGAGGTGAAGAATTCGCAATGATGACATATGATACATTTTGGCAGACATTTTATGTTGTCCTCACAACGAGGTCAAGATTTAGCAACTATGAACTTTAATCACATGGCAGTTATTCACGACCCATCGCTTCTGATAAGAGTTCAATATCTTTTTAACATCGGACTATAAAAAGAGATGATGACACCTATATGAAGTTGGTTTTGGTTCCTCAAGTTGAATGTTGCTTGTTCAACTGGCATGTTGTTGTATAGGCAGAATGCTGCGCGCTTAATTTTGAAGAACAAGTAATCATGTTAAATGTTGGGAGTTTAAGTTGAATTATTAACTTTAAATGTTGAAACGTGAAGTTGAAAGTTGGGTGCTATAACTTAATGTTAGCCGCTCAAGTTGAATATTGAGGACTCAAGTTGATTTTTGGGAGTTTAAGTTGAATTATTAACTTTGAATGTTAAAATGTGAAGTTGAAAGTTGAGTGCTATAATTTAATGTTAGCGGGTCAAGTTGACTGTTGAGGACTCAAGTTGATTTTTGGCGGGGATTGAACACCATATTGGGCGACTGTTTAATAGCCGGTGTCACGCGTGTTTGTGGTATGTTAGGGGTTGTGGCTTGCCTTTTTATACTTTTCTGAATTTTTCGAATATCCCCCATGAATTGTTGCATGGGACCCACCACTAAATTATTTTCATCATTATCCTCTTCTGAATCATTACGCCCTATAGAGCATATACCCCCAGGCTGACGAATTTTCTTGGTCCATTGTCATAACTGTCGATTCACGGATTGCAAACAGGGTTCTTTCCAGGTATCGGGGGCCGGACTTTCTAGCAACAGTTCTTGTTGGGCCGCTAAATCCGCTGCTTTAGTCAGACCGCTATCATCTAAGAGGTCTGATTTGTATTTATCCCTTGGCGGTAAAAATTGAACAGAGTTTTTGACGGGTGTGCTACTAATACCGTCCATGGTCAGCAATGAATGAACATCAAAAGTCCCAGGGGCATACTTGTACGTTTTTGGACCCCCACCTCTTAGGATATTTTTCTTTCATTCGTTGGTGAAGGTTTTTCAAGAGGGTTGCCAACGTCATCAACCCTTCTAGCACACACAGCAGTCGTTGGAACAAGACTTGTTTCATCTCAATACAGGTAGTGGGTCTTAGCACAATGATAACCACGTCTTAATTCGCTCCAAACACTTGCTCCTAATTGATGAATCATGAGTTTGCGTCTTCTTTTTATACTCTGACGGGGAATTGCAATCAGGCGAAGCTGTTTGCTGTAGGGTTTTAATTTGGGCACAGTTTTTCTGCCAGGACGAATTGCCCCACGTAAGGTATTCACGACTAATTCACTCACAGCATTAATTTGTTCTGCATTGGCATAGCAAAGTTTTTGTTGACGTTTGTGTTGGTTAGCTTCCTTTAAGACATCTTTTAAAAAGGCCCCTTGTCGTGTCATACGTCCCGTCATCGTGCTTTAGTTCTCCTTTGAGGTCTGCATTTCCTTTTATACTTCTGTTTGGATAAGGGATGCAAAGCTTTCATGGTCCCATAATTGGCTGCAGCGCCTAGTCCTCCCATGGCTGCTGCTTTCCCTCCAGCCACTAAGGCAGGAATAGCTGCTGCTAAGAAGGGAGCTATCCCTCCACGTTGTCTTCCCACCCCAGGTTTGTGCTTTTTTGCTAATCCTCTCTGTCGTTGTCGTCCTTTGGCCATGGTTAATGAATCACTCGTGAATGAATCTCCGTTTATATCATCGTCAAACGTATGAACCTGAGGTTTCCTCTCACGTTGGGTTAAATGACTCCATACGCAAAAACGATCGTCGGAGGCTGGATGTAAATCCAACATAGCGAGCCGTCAACCTCAAAAATAATTGAAGCACTCTTCACAATTTGTCTGGATACACTTGCAGCAACAAGTCACTTATGCCCGTCTTGTCCCGAGGACTTTTGAAGCAAATAGCATAATGCACGTTGCGGTTGATGGTTTTGGCAAATTTGCGGGGAGGAAAGAGATCTTGGGTTAGATACAAGGCGGTAATACCACGATGATGAGAATCTTTGGTAAACAAATCAAGCACGCGTTTATCATTGCCAGATTCCTCCATCAGATCATCGAGAATAAGAATCCCATGATGTTTTTTCTCTTAATAATAATTTATTACATTTAATATAGTGCTTTAACTACTAAAATATTCTAAAGCGCTTTACAATATGAACAAGAAAATAAATATATATATACAATACATGGACAGAAATAATGGTGATAAGAATATAAATTTACACATTAAAAGCTTTCTTAAAAAGATAAGTCTTCAACTGTACTTTAAAAGAGTCAATGTTCCTACAGTTTCTAAGGCTAGATGGCAAAGCATTCCATACTGTTGGTCCAGCATGGAAAAAGGCTCGATCACCAAGTCTTCCGTGTCACCTTAGGGATTACAAGCAATGTTTCAGAATCAGACCAAAAGAAACCTGAAACCCCAAATGCGTGTCATGCCACTCCCCATTTTGGGAGCGAAATGCAAATGAAAACTCATCAAGCGAGACAAGTCGACCTCTCGCGACTTCATCGCTTGTGGTCGGCGGCTGCGCGGCCAAACAAGGCTAGCTCCACTCACCAAGAGGTCTACTTGTGGCAAGTCTAGGATTGCAGGTAACAAGGATTATTTTACGTCCAGTGCATGGCAGAACACAGAAGAGAAAGTGAAGTTGTATCAAGGCATTAAGAAGCCTCACTACTCTAACATCAATCAAGCAGAGAGGCAATCCAGTAATCAAAGGCCTTCTCCTTCTATCCACCGCCACTCTTTATCCACCCTTCCCCATCTTGTAGTCCAGGGTGAGATACAAAATCATGTATCTATTTGGAAGTTTCCAATTTCCATTTCACAATCAACGGTTGGTGGCCGCAGGGGGAGCAATGCCTGCACATTTATAAGCCTTTTACTGGCAAAGTATTACTATTGCAATCCTTCATGTAATAATCATGAACTGACCTAATTTACCACTTCCCCAAGAATGGGTGTATCTATGAACATTAGCAATAATACAAGGCAACAACACATGACAGACTTACAGGAGGAGGAGCACACAATTTCGGAGTTCGGGAGGCTTCACAGGCTATGCCCTTATTTTCAAATAGACTAAGAATTAGTGCGAAGTTCCCAGCTGACTTGGTTCCCCAGCCACAGCCAGCTGCGGAGTTCCCATTTTACCTAACACAAGCGGAACAACAGCAGAAAACTGTGGCTCTCTTCATCATTAATGAGAAGACAGTATCCTTTATTCCACAAAAAAGCGGGTACATCTTGATTGACAGCCATGTTCATCAGCACCATAGGGCACTGATAGCCTATGTCAAGAAAACTGATGTTTGGGAGCTCATAAAATTTTACCATGTATCAACAGGCCGTCCCTTTACGCTTGGAACAGTTACAATGGTGTCATTGGTGACATAAAAGATTGCTCCTATTGCTTGGTTACCGGTCGTTTCGATACAGGGTGTAAATTGTTTCTTGTACTTGGCCTTTCTTTGCAAACAATTAACCAGCATTAAATGGGAAGAAATACTACTCACCTTTAAAATTTTGTAACAGGTACTCCCTTTTCTTTCACCACCTGCCATAACGAAACGTATATTTCACACAGAAATTCATCGCCACGCCACAATATTCATCACTGAACACACGATCATCATCAGTTCAAAGCAACGTAACTGATATGTCACGGACGTGCACAGTGCGTTATTCAGCCCTGTCCTCCTGAACAAAGACGTACCTTTCCTTATAGATGACATGACCGATGTGACAAGCAAAGAACAGATGATCACAACCTGTTTTCGCTTTCCACAGACAGCATAGTCAGATCTGCTGTGGAAAACTGTCCAGGGATCATTTAAACCCTTCTCAAACGAGAGGGAAAATGTGCTACATCAGCAGGGCTATTACGTTACATCAACATTGGCAAGTTTTTTAGTACAATATACATTCTATACTCTGTTCTGCCCAAATTTTCAGATGTCTCCAAAGCTTTCCAAAGGTCAGTGGTTAATTTCAGCCGCATGAAACCTTGTCTGGATTCTGTAAAGGCTGCCTTGAAAGAGATGCAGACATCTTAAAGTCCAATGGAGGACGTTAAATCTACCACAGAAAAGCTGAAAGAAGCAGATCTTCTTGATTTTGAAGTTCCTGACGGAGTTGTGGAGGATCTGAAGCGAATGCTAGTGCACTACACTGATGCTCTTGTGAGAAATATAGATGACCGGTTCAAGGAATCTGACATTAGTGACAGCACTGTTCATATTTGATCCTTTGTTGATGCCCTCAGCTGGTGATTTCAAGTCATGGCCTTACAGAGATCGAGTTGACTGGAAAGCATTTCTTCCCTGAGGGCGATGGTTAACAGGAGGGAGTGAAAGCTGAATAGGGGAAGTTAACGTATGCCATCCTTGACTGGAAGACCAAAATTCCTAGAGAGATCAAGGAAGGGACCACACAGCAGACAGAACAGCTACCTTGGATCACTATATCCTTATATCTCCATGACTGCAGAAGTTGTATTGGCATTGCCTGTTTCAAATTCATGGCCCGAAAGGGGAGCAAGCAAGATCAAATTGATAAAGTCCAGGGTTGGGAGTCGTTTGAAGAATGATCTACTCAATTCCCTTCTGCAGATATCAATAAATGGCCCTGATGTCTTCTCCAAGTAGAATGATTATGTAATCGAAGAGCAGTAAGGCTGTGGATGAATGTGAAGAAAAAGAAGAAGGTTGCCTACAAGACAAGTCGAGGAGCTGTAGGGCCACACGCAGGGCAAAATGGTCGGCTGTAGCATTACAAGCAGGCCAGAATGAACAAGCCAAGTCAGTTACCCAAGTAGAAGCAGGTACACACACAGAACAGGGTTAGTTGAACTTGTGGATTCCGAGAAAGAACAAGAAGAAGTGGCAGCAAAAGTGTTCTGTTTAGACAAGGAAAATGAAGAATCTGACAGTGAAGGGGATGACAGTGGATGGGAGGACGATGACGATTATGAAGACTACTTTTCTGACTGAAAGTAGACTGTGTTTTAACAATAAACACAAACTAGGTGCAGACCTTAGATAAAGGTGTAGTTTTATTGACGCTGATTCATGAAGTGTGCAGTAAACTCCCCCCATTATTTGAAATTAACGATGGACATGTAAGAATGTAAATACTCGGAGCCTTTCCAAACTTGTGATTAACTACACAGACATGTTGTGAAGGCTCTTGTGTACTTCAAGACCCAGATCCATGCTAAGGACATAAATGATATCATACACCAAGCAAATTAACCCATGCTGTAGAGTTAAAAATTAACCAGTTTATTTTCATTTCATTTATTATTAGACACATGAATCATAATTAATTTGCCCTGCCAAAATTGCAATGACTCTCTTGAACTCTTGTTTAAACGAAAGGAGTGCATTGTTATGGCTGGAATTATTAGAACCTATTAAAAATATCAGTGTTTTTTGGTATCTGAAATGTCCCATAATGCGTCTCAAATTAATCTGCAAGGAGGTAAGAGGTGAGAAATTATTTTCTTCTAAGCCTGCTCTACATGAAATAAGCTAAGCTGGAGTTGTTAGGAATATTGGCGTTTGCATGTGAAGTTTCTGCTGGCGATGACAACAAGTGAAAATATTTGTTGCTGAGATAGTGAAGAGGGGCTGGTGAAGTGCAGCTACCACCTTAACCAAAAAAGTAAAGCACGTCAGCATCAAAAGTAATAGCGTGTATATTTCAGTAACTTACCTCCTGAGTAGACGTGTCGTCAGTGGAAGTCTCCAAGGTTTCTGCTGGTAGCATATCCTGAGCAAGGAGAATAGCAAATAGAATCATATTCTCCTGGTATTCTGACATAAGCTTTAATAATTATGAAATGAACGCGGTTAATGGAAGTGCGATATTTGCAATCAGTTTCTTTTCATGACCTACTAATAAGCGAAAAGTAAAAGGCTTCTTGTTTTCCTGATCATTTTAATACGATGAAATTTTTCCCTTACCTCTTTTCCTGATAAAAAAGGACACAATGTACTAGTTGCTTTGAACCAAACCTGAGTCCGCAGCAGCTACTTTGTTCTTACACCTTTGCACTCTAATATTCGTGACACAGCCAGGGAAATATCGATGCATCGTTTCACCCTTTTATCAGCCAAGAATGAATTCTTACTCTGGATTGTCGTGGTCTTCAAAATGAAATTCTTTAACCTCCTTTCACAAGGCCTACACAATGGATGTGGCAAGGATTCACTGTGTGTTAGAGGACTTCTGCAAATATTCTCCACGGCCGCTAGCAGAGCGCAATTTCCCTTGCCATGTAGATTTTTCCAATGAGAAATATTGCCAATCGATTTAGAAGTTAGATCTTTTTTACCAACGGATTTATATACTTTTCTCGGTGTTTTCGGTAGACTGCCACTTGACATTTTGAAGACTGCTACTTGACATTTCACCACGTGATTTGACCTGGCTAGGTCAAGCACGTGAGTTTATTGTGATAACAACACTTTCCACTCTCCCCTGGTCTCAGAGGCGACAAATTTCACACTTATCTGCCCCTCCCCCAACTCATTTGTTTTTAATCTCCCAGATTATGGGAGAAACGTGACCAGACCCAACCAGGGTCTCTCGACGGGTAGGAGAGAGAAGCTGGGAACGAGGTTGGTCACACTATATAATTTTTGCTTAAATGACAGACTTATTTCAGCGTGCCATCCCAAAGCTGTGACCAGGACATCATCTTATAATGATAAAATTAAAGATAATTGCATAAGTGGGGTAAGCAGGTAAGAAAACTCGTTAAATCATGCCATGCTACACTTAGTGCCGGAAAAGTTGTTTGTGTTGTCATGTTTATTCAAAATTGTGCAATCATTGACAACAAACGTTTGAAACGAAGAAAAACGTGAGAGGCATAAGTAATTGGAATTAGAGCTGCCAATACAAATCTGTGCATGTTTTTACCTAGGCCACACTTTAAGGTCTTCTACATTTGGGTTGTCGCACACCTTGTTTCACCACACAGAATAATACCAGTAGCCCCTTCTCTCTAGTTTGCTTTTTAATGAATTTTATCCTTATAAAAAATGCGCACAGCAGCATTGTTTTTCAATAGTCAGTTCATTGTTATTTTATATGCCCCTTTGTGTAAGTGATAGTGTTGACAACTAGCAAAACAAACCTGTAATGTGATACCTTTACCAGCAATTGTAAAATTGTCAGGTTTTAATTATGTTTACATAGTAAATAGGACAAAATAATTTTTAAGAACATGTAAAACAATCAGAATAGGTATCAGTTAGAGACGTGGCAGAAAAAATATTAACAATGTGCGCTTTAAATATGTCTTCAACAAGTTCAAGGTCAGTAAAAATGGTAATGAAGTTAACCGTGGGTCCTTGCTGGTCTTCCAGAATCTCCACGACTCCAGATTGTATCTTCCAAAACAAAGCTGGTGACGAACCACAACACATATTGAAAATGAAGTCTATCCGTGCTCTTGAACAAGTGACCATAAAAAGATAACATAGGGTGTTCAGGGTCTAAGGAGAGTGAGGCATTTTTTTACACTAAATCTCTAAATGACTTAGTTTTATCATACCATTCAGGTTCCTGTATAATGGCATGATCAATATCTTTATAAATGACTAACCTAAAGTAATCTCACGTGAAACATCCGTACTTCTTTTTGTGGATGATTCTAGGTCCTTTCACTGAATCCTTGGGCAGGATGATTGTGATAAATTACAAGATGGCCTAAATGAGTTATTTAACTGGTCTCATACTTAGGGAATGGAGTTGAATGTTAAAGAGTGTGTTTTTGAGGGTGGCACGTTGAAGTTGATAGGGATTATTTCCTTGGGGGAATTAAGTTGGACCATGTTGCTGTTGAAAAAAGACTTGGGGATTTTGATAAGTCATGATTGAAGTTGGCATATGTGTTGTAGTACAAAGATTCCTGATATTAATCACCCTTGTTCTTGTTTTTGGGCCACATTTCTGTAATAAGAAAGCTCTTATGTTGTTGTGGAAAGCTAAAGCCATCATGAAGACATCTGTGTCCTCTGAGTAGAAAACAACACGTTCTTGGCCCGCTTCAATAACATGTGTGTCATGGGCAAGTAGACGCCCATCTGCTTCCTACTGGCACTGGGGTTGACTGCGAGCAGTCTCTCTTTTGCTCAAAAAATCCATAAGTGAGAGTATGTGAGCAGCAAAGTCGTGTGAGTAGCGATGGCAGTAGTTGAAAAGGCATAGATATGAGCAACGAGAGACAGTAATGGTTTCGTACAGCATTTTGGATGCCCGGAATTCTGGTGACGGGCAAATGACAGGTCAGGATGATGGTCATCGGTCATTCACCAGCACATCATCACTTGGAGACTTTCCCCTCTCCCTAAATGATCAATGGAGTGTGCCAAAATTTTAGTAAACAATATGGCTGCCACTTTGCAGCATGTATGTGAGGAGAATTTGGGTGGAGTGAAGCTAAAAAAGAAGCAGGAGCAAGCAGTACTCGCTTTTCTGGAACTACAGGTTTTGGTAAAGGTTTTATGTACCAAAGCTTTTCTGTTGCAAAATGTGTGATCAATGCTGTTACGCCAACCGTGACTGTTGTCTTGCTGCTGAGAAGTATTGCTGAGGAACAAGTCAGAAACAATGAGTTTGATCTTGCAGCCGCGCAGTTGTCTCTCAATAAAGAAAAACTTCATGCTGTTGCTTCTGCTGAAGTTCAAGTTCTGTACATGTCTGCTGAAGAGGTGCTTCATGAATTGTTCATTGACCTTATGAAACAGGACTGCCCATTTCGGCAAAATCTGGCATTGATTGTTGTGGACCAATCCCACATGGTCCTATACTTGGTAAGAATTAATCTTACATGTAATAATACTGTTTTTATCATTTACAATATTGCCCTAGCTCTTTGTTTAAGTCCGTGGTTAGACGTTATAATTTAATAGGGCTTGGGATGGGGAAGCAATTTTATAGTTGAATTTGATTGTTTCGTGAATTTCTAAAGTTCGTCAGCTGTTCATTCTTCCCTTAGTTTTTCTGATAATAATTAATGCGACTGGCTTTCCAGGGGGGGGGGGGGGGGCAGGAAGGGAAAAGCATCTCAAAAAACCGGCGGGGAAAAGAGGCCCTCAACAAAGTGTGGGGTCAAGCAGAGGGGGTAACACTAGACCCCATCTTGTTTGTAAGGGGGAGGGAACATGGAGAAACAGGGGGGCCCAGCCTCGAACCCCCTGACCACTCGGAGATGGAGCGCCCTGCGTGGCCTAGAAAAAAAAAACACCAGCCCAGCCCTATGTTTTTTTTGGATGGCTGATGATATATTAGTATTTTATGGGTGGGGGAGGTGGGGAAATTTTTTTTTGTTTGTTTTGTTTTTTTTGTTTTTTTTTTAATTTTGTTGCTTTTTTTTTTTTTTTTTTTTTTTTATATAAAAATATGAGTGGGGGGGGGGGGGGGGGGGGGGGGGGGGGGGGCAAGGAAGGAAAATCATCTGAAAAACTCTTCAGTGAAAAATAGACCACTATTAAGATTGCGATCAATTTGCAGTGGTAAGCCATATTAGCCTCGTTTTTGTAAGAGGTTAGTGATATGCATTTTCCATTTCATTTCTCATCCAGTACTACCCCTTGATAAGCTTACTTATAGGTGGAACACGATTCATTTGCCCTTCATAGGTAAAAAAAATGACAATTATTACACTAGGACAACATTGTTTTGCTTCCTGAGAGCATCAGTTTAGTCTTCTTTACATAAAGTGATCATTTGTTGTAGATATACCAGTGGACCTAGGACACTCCTTTGTGGTACACCCAGATCAACAGCGCGAGCCTCCCATACTTTGCCATACATAAACATGCCTGACAGGGATGACAAAAGGTGACTGTGTTAACAATTCCTTTCCATAATCTAGAGGTAGGACAGGGAAAGGATTAATAGCTCTCTTTGTGTATACACCTTTTTTTCAAAATGGTGTAAGATCACTGTCTTCTATTTTGTATTAGTTAGCCATCTT